CCAGCCTTCTGGTTAGCAGTCAAATGCCTTAGGCACTATGCCACCAGAGCTCCCACATACTGTATTAGTATGGTACTTTCATTACAATGAATTAATGAATATTGATACATTATTATTAACTAAAGTCCATGCTCTGGTGGTGTAGTGCCTAAGGCATTTGACTGCTAACCAGAAGGCTGGAGGTTCAAACCCACCAACCACTACTGGGAAGGAAGGTTGAGCAATCTACTTCCATAGTGATACTGCCTCAGAAACCCAAGGAGGCATTGCTATGAGTCAGGTCCAACTTGACGGCAGTGAGCTGCTAAAGTCCGTAGTTTACTTTAGGGTTCACTTTTTGTGTTGTACAGAATAGTTTCACTGTCCTTAAAATAAATGCCTAAGGCACTTGACTGTTAACCAGAAGGCTGGCAGTTCAATCTACTGCTGCTGGTTGGACAATCTACTTCCGCAGTGATACTGCCTCAGAAACCCAAGGAGGGGTTGCTGTGAGTCGGGGCTGTCTCGACGGCACATAACAACAACAACAACAAAATAAGTCTGTGTTTTGTAAGAAACTATGACTGTCTTGCACAGTGGCTATATATCATTTTGCATTCCCACATGCAATGAAAGCAAGCTCCTATCCCTCCACATCCTTGCCAGCATTTGGTGTTGTCAGTGTTTTGGATATTAGCCACTTTAAGGAGTTGCCATGAGTCAGAGTCCACTCCACAGCAACTGGTAACAAGTGTGTGGAATCCCTGTGTGGTGCAAATTGTTAACATGCTCAAGTGCTAAACAAAAGGATTGGAGGATCAAGTCCTCCCTATGTGCTTTGGAAGAAAGTCATGGTGATCATGATAGATCTAACAAATCAGGCATTGAAAACCCTACAGAGCGCTGTTGTACTCTGACACATGGGGTTGCCATGAGTGGGTGTCGACTCAATGGCAACTGTTTGAGTTCAGAGAAGTATAGAGGTATCTCATTGTTGTTCCTACTTGCAATTTCCGAGTGGTGTATGATGTTGAACATCTTTTAATATACTTGTCATTTGTATATCTTATTTTGTGAGATGTCTGCTCAGAGGTTTTGCACATTTTGTAATGCAATTTTTTTTTTTTTCTTATTTTTGGGTTTTAAGAGTTCTTTGTATATTTTGGGTACAAGTCCTTGGTCAGATATGTGTTATTGCAGATATTTTCCCCTGGTCTGTGACTTTTCTTAGAAGTATCTTAAGAAGAGGAAAATTTTACTTACAGTATTTAAGTCAATATTTATTGACAATAAACTTAACTGCAACTCTAAGTCATGCTAAAAGACCTTCTTAGTTGGGTATACAAAGTCTGCT